ACGAGGAAGAACGCGTACCTGTTCTTCCTCGCCTCCACCGCCGTTCTCATCTACACGACGCAGCGGGACCTCGTCGACCTCTTCGTCGGCGGGAGGGCGCCCTACGTCCTCCCCAAGAGCAGCTCGCCAGACGTCCTGCAGGATCTGAGGCAGCTGAAGGCCAAGGAGAGGACGAATGTCAAGAACAAGCTGAACAGGACGAACAACGTCAAGGGCGTGAGAACATCGACGCCCGTTCTGAAGCTCTCGTACGGCGCCGCCCTTCGAAATATCAGTTACTCCAGTTATAGCTCTGAGGTGGGCGTTTGATGGGCTGAATAGTAATGATAATGATAATAATGATAATGGTAATAATGGATGATATTAATAGAAATGTAATAAAAGCAATAGTAATAATAATGATAATAATATAATGGTAATAATGATGATATTAATAGAATAGTAATAAAACAATAGTAATAATAATGATAATAATAACAATAATAATAATAACAGAGATGATCATAACAGCAACAAAACAACTATGATAATAATAATGATAGTAGTAATAACGACAATAAAGACAACGATAAAAATGATAATGATAACAAGAATAATAATCATTATCATCATTACTAGTATCAACATTATCATCATCGCTATTGTCATCATTATCATCATAATCATTATTTTGTTACAATTACACATATATAATTTAAAATGACGAACAGTTGCATTGGCTTCCAGTTTTTCTATATACTTCAGTCACATAAATCGTAAAAAAAAAAAAAAACATAAACAGCCCAGCTCCATTAGTTATGATAGCGTTTATGAATTACTTTAATTATGATGAAATAGAATTGCCATAATGCAATCTTAGAATTTGATTGTCATTTGGGATTCTGCAGGTGTTTCCCTTATATAAGAATTCAGCATTAAAACTTGAATAAAAAGGGAATAGAGAAGTAAAAAAAAAAAAAAGATAAAAAATAATATTCTGCCGGTGTTTTCCTTATATGGGAATTCAGCATTTAAACTTGAACAAAAAGTGAATAAATAAATAAGATAAAATGTTTAAACATACATATATAAATAGGGTAATGATATATTTTTAAAAATAATAAAAACAACACAATACGCATAAATGTAACAAGCAAAAGATGTAAACAAGGATTTTTAATTCATATTTTCCAGGACGCCGCCATTTTGAAAAGCCGCGTGGACGAGATGGCGGGAAGGGCGAAGGTGCTCGGCCAGGTTTGCCAATCAACAACATCTCTTTCTTTAAAACCGAGTAGAATATCTGTTGTTTGGGACACGAAGCATACTCCGAGTATCGTCTGGTGCCCGGTGTATAAAGTACGTTATTTTTTTTTTTTTTTTTTTTCGTTCGTCTTCGTTTTCTTTTTGTTTTTTCCCGTTTTCTTTTTTTCTTTCTTCGTTTTCTATTTGCTCTTCGTTTCCTTTTTGTTCTTCGTTTTCTTTTTATTCTCCGTTTTCTTTTTTTCTTTCTTCGTTCCTCCGTTTTTTCTCTTCGCTTTCTTCTCCTTCTTCTTCGTTTTCATCATTTATTTCCAGGATTTTCGTTCGAGTCCAGAAAGTTTAGATCGTATTGCAATTCTCGTTATATTTTCTCCTTTTTCGTTTTTATTTCGCATTCGCTTCTAAACTCTTCTCAGGGATAAAGCGGAGGTCATGTCACTCTAAAAAAAGACGTTAAATTTTCTCTTCTTGTCTCCTTTGAATACAAAGAGCGTAGTTAGGATGGATAGGATCGTTATCTCTCTCTCTCTCTTTCTCTCTTTCTTTCTCTGTCTCATTCTGTCTGTATGTCTCTCTCTCTCTCTCTGTCTCTCTCTGTCTCTCTCTGTCTCTCTCTCTCTCTCTCTCTCTCTCTCTTCTCTCTCTCTCTCTCTCTCTCTCTCTCTCTCTCTCTCTCTCTCTTTCTCAAAAAAAAAAAAAAAAATACAAGTAAGCAACAGGTAAACAATAATGAAAAAGTAAACAAAAAATAAGTAAAATTCATTAAAAGCAAGTACGAACACAAGGAAAATACAAATAAGCAACGTAACGATAACAAAAAAAGATAACCCAAAAACATGTATATATTCATTTGAAGCAAGTACGAATGTAAAGAGAAAAAATAAAAATAAACATGTAAACGGTAATAATTTTTTTTTTCTAAAATATGTATATATTCATTAGAAGCAAGTACGAATACAAAGGACAAAAAATTAATATATAAAAAAGTCAGAAATGCATTATTCAGTCAAGGAAACGGATAAGAGAGTGACCTCGTCTGACCTCCAACTGCAGGTCGCCTCCACCACCTGGATGAGGAACTTCCTCCGCCTCGCCCACTTCAACGAGGACAACCCGAAGATCCCCAAGAATATACCGAAGGAGAAGCAGGAGAAGAGGAGGTTTTCGGTGAGTGTTGGAGGATACGCACACATACACACATGCACACGCACATACACACACGGCACACACACACCACGCACACACGCACACACACCACACACACACACACACACACACATACACCACACGCACACACACGCACACCACACACACACACACACACACACGCACACACATATATATATTTGTGTGTGTGTGTATATATAAATGTGTGTGTGTGTTTGCGTGTATGCATGTAAATGTAAGAATGTATACATACATGTATACACGCCCAACCCTTTTTAACCCCTCGACGTGTCTCGCGTGTCCGTCAGGTGCGGTTCGGCGCCACCCACAACCGCGTGTTCGAGCTGTATCCGGGACCCGAAGACGAAGCCGAGAGAAGCCGAGTCATGCAGGAGAGTGTTCGGGTCATCATCGTGAGGCATCCCTTCGTCAGGTATTTTTCTGGGGGGGGGGGCAGATTCCTGGATTTTTTCAAATGCTTTTTTTAGTTGTCTTTTTTTTTAATGTTAATTCATTTTTTTTTATTATTTTCATTTTTTTTTTTGAGAGTGTAGGTACCCTTTCGTACGTGTTATTTATTTATTTTTAGCCTTAAATTTATATTCTTTTCTATTCTTATCAGGCTTTCTTCCATAACTGTAGGCATTTTTTATTTATTAATTTTTCATTCTTATTTTTTTTTCTTTCCTTTTTTTTTAAAAGTTAATATCCATATATTATTCCCAGAGAGAGAGAGAGAGAGAGAGAGAGAGAAGAAAAATGTACAGTCCCCTTGCATTTCCACTGTCCTCCCTAACCGAAGCCAAGAGTGAACCGCGTCTCGACTCGCGTTCGAAACACGTGTCAGAGCTCACGCGTTTCGGAAAAGCGAGAGTCGAAACCGTGGGATTCAAACACTAGCAACTCTGGGTGAAGGGGACTGTACATTCCCCAAGAACATTCTCCCTAACAAAGGATCTCTACTTTACACGTATAATAAACTCTTATCTCCAGCATCTTAATCCTGATATTAATGTGAAAAATCCACCAGGCTCCTCTCTGCTTATCGGGACAAGATGATCAAGAAAAATCCCATCCCTGTCAAATTCAAGTTTAGGGAGTTGCAAAAATACATTATTGCGAAATATCGAGGCTCCAACAGCACTGACAATTCCTCTTTTCCGAGTTTTGCCGAATTCGTCCAGCACGTGATTGACTCCACAGAGGACTATGTAACTCCCAAGGACTGGACGGATAACGTTAGTATATATGCAATGTGAAAGGAAAAATCATCAATGGACATCCACTGTTATTAATGCCATCGACATTTCATTTCTCACGTAATATTTCTTATTTTTTCGCCCCCACGATCGTTTTTCGTCTTTCTCCATTCCCATTTTGAGCATGAAGTGTTGGTAGATTCACCGTCAACCGCGTGGATTTTAGGCTTCCATCTGCGTCAGGAACAAGTGGTTTCTCATTTTTGTTGTTTTCATTTATCATAATTTAGTTCAACCACACACACGCACACGTACACACACACGCACACACACACACACACATGCACGCGCACACACGCACGCACACATACACACGCACGCGCACACACACACGAACACTAAAAATTTTAGCTACTGAATAGAGTGAAGCAGTAAAAATCATTCACGTTAAAGTTGAATTATCACTTTCCATTTCATTACAGTTCATTTTCCCATTTTAAGAATATGAATTCCAGTTTCTTTTTAGTTTTGCTAAATAATCATCTTTTTCTGCCAGAATTTTCTAGTTTAGCTTTGTTAATTAAAGTTTTCTAAAGTTCTCATGAAGTTCTTAGCTAAAATTCCACAAATTGTGAGAGAGAATAGGAAAATATACAAGACATGTACAGCTCATAGAGAGACATACCAATTTTCACCTTTCTAATGCTAGTTTTCTGGTTGGGTATTTCCTCCCCCAGGTGAAATGCTGGCTGCCTTACTGGGTGCACTGCGGGGTATGTTCCTCCGACTACAACATCATCATGAAGTTAGAAAGCATGAAGGAGGACGAACAGTTCCTCATCACTCTTTCTCGTCTCGAAGAACTCAAGGTATGGCTACGAGTTTCGCGTCACAATGCACTGTTGATAACTTTATATTATTTCATATTAAGTGAACATGTAAGGTGATTATCTTCTTCTCTCGATACTGACGCTTCCCAATGCTAATACTTCGGCAGAACGTGGGCAGCTGGGTCCACCTGAAGGGGTCGTCCTCGGCCGATTTGGCGAAAGAGTACTACAAGGACGTGACGCGACGCCAGATGCAGGAACTCTACCAGCGGTATCAGCAGGATTTCGAACTCTTTCAGTATGATATTGACGACTTCCTTGCTATTGCCAAAGACGAGTAAAATCTGAGTGTAGTTAAGGCTACAACTCAAAATAACTATGCTTAAACAGGGTTTAAAAGTAAAGTGGTTTGATTACAGTGCAAATAACTAGTGCCTGAACGCGTCACATTTGACCGCTTGGCTTTGGGCATTGTCAGAATTTACTTTATATTAAAGGTTTATTATATATGCAGGGTGATTTCACCCCTTATTTATTGCTGAATAAAGGTGAATAAAAAAAAGTAAGTTATTTCCCCATTAGCTATTAAGTGTACCAATCAAAACCACTATTAAGTGTACCAATCAAAACCACTATTAAGTGTACCAATCAAAACCATTCTCAAAAGAGGTCACAAAATGGATTTACGGCAATTAAGTAACAACAATGGAGAATACACACAGCAATGGCCATAACAAAGTGTTTAACCATCGTTAGCTACTTTTTTGCAGTTATAACTTGACAGCGCCATCAAAAGAGCATCTGCGTTAATGGGAACGCTGGGATGAAGGGAAAGCCAATGAACTAGGCTATATATTTAACAGCTTTTCTGCAGTCCCATTTTCACGCTAAAGATCAGCAAGAAACCCGAGTTTGTTCAAAGAGATCTAGGCTGGAAACCCCTACAATCAATTCCTGGAAGGCACAGGGAAAGATTAAGCAAAGCAAAATAGTTTTAAAATGCACTCCCTCTCGTTGTCTCTATCTGATCTATAGGATATCCTTCAAACTGAATTCCCAATGAGGGTCACGTCACGTCATCTATAAAAAAGAAAAAAAGAAAAAAAAAAGAGAGAGAAGGAAAACAATGAGGGTCACGTTCGGCATCTATCAAAAAAAAAAAAAAAAAAAAAAAGGAAAACTATATTTCAGGAAACAATAAGAGCCGTGGTCTCGCTAGGCTTTTCTAACATGACTAAGTTGTGGGATTTACCGCCGTTCAGACCATCCCTGCGTTCACTTGAGCAAATCTGCACGGTGCCCTTCGCCCTGTCCCAAAACGCTCAGGGTGAACGCAGCGGGGAAGGCTAGATCAGTAGCAACTCGAGGATGTGTCATGGCGTCTGATACTATACGAAAAAAAAAAAAAAAAAAAAAAAAAGAGAAGGAAAACAATGAGGGTCATGAGGATGTATCGTGGCGTCTGATACTATACGAAAAAAAAAATAAATACATGGGGTTTTGATGACGTCACAAAAGTTACGGATGCTTTGCGAATTATTTTGGTCTGTTCAATTTTCAAAAAGAATGAAAAATAATAATTTTACTGGTTATATTTTAATTGATCAATTATCAAAACAGACGCCATGACACCTCCTCGAGTTGCTACTGATCTAGTCTTTCGTTCATCCGCGCAATGCACCGATCAGCTGATTATTGTAAACAAACAGTCCTTCCACGGCGAACACAGCTGAGACGCGTTAAGAGATTATTTATTTTCCTGATTAAGAACGTAATGAAGGTTCAGAACTGATATAGACGATTTATATAGCATATATTAGTGACTAACAAAGAAAGAAAGGTACGCGCAAGGCATGATTGCACTGCACCCCCCCCCCATCAAAAAAAGAAAAACAAATAACTGGCAACTTACACGAACTCTGGAGAACTTCACCAGAAAAATGAAATGGTGTTGAAGACAGCAGAAGTCAATAAAAATGAAATATATAGATTAATTAACAAATTCAGAACATATGCAAAACACGAGTAGTAGAGTAGTAAAGATCAGCGCATTAGAATAAACGAGAGACTTGGCCAATTGGAGTCCAGGGTAAGTTGCCAGTTTTCCCTTTTCTGAATGTATTAGAGATCCAGTGGGAGAAAGAGGAGGTACTACAAAGACCACGATCTTGGCCCAAGGTCCACTGATAAGTTCCTAGAACACTTTCCAGTAATAATATTATGATTGCGCCTAAGAGTACTACAAGTTTCCTTTATAAAGTTGATATGTCATTGACCTAAAGTCCGTAATCTGGCTTTGAATATATATATATAATATATATAAATAATATTTTATTATAATATATTCCAAAAATCGTAAGTCATACTGTATAGTACATACATGTACAATATTACAGTCGAATTACATATATACCATATACAGAGTATCCAATGATGGTTCAATGCCCTGAGATACTTTCCTGTCACATAACAACATAAAACACATAGGAGGCTAGGAGGTGAGCAACAATCCCTTATTCCTTGGAGACAATATACAGTTCCTCGCACAAATACAAGCATAAAAACATAACCTTCCTCTCTTTCCTTTTCCCTTCTTTGTCTTTCCGCACTTCCGGATCGCTCCCCATCCTACATCACTTGCGGGTAAATACTCACATGACTAAAACATCCTTTCTTTTTCTTTTCTTTCTCTCTTCATCTCTCGTCTCTCTCTCTCCCCTCTCTCTCTTCTATCCTCTGTGTCTTCTCTCTCTCTCTCGTGTTCTCATTTCGTTTCTCATCTCTTTCTTTCTATCTCTCCTCTCTCTTTCTCGCGTCTCTCTCTCTTCTCTATCTACTTGCCCCTGTCCTCTATCTGATAACCAAACATTGGATATTCAGATTTATGATTTTAATAATAGTGTGGACGAAGTATCAGGATAATGATTCTGAGCTGAATATTGATTGAGATTTGAATCCCTTGATAAACGCTGCATGCACCACACACACACACATAGGCAAACAACACACACACACACACACACACACACAACACACACACACACACACACACACACACATGTCACACACACACACACACACACGACACACACAGGAACACACACACACCACACACAACACACTATATGATATATATATATATATTTAATATATATATATATTATATATATAGTATATATATATATATATATAACTAAAGTATTTCATTTATAAAAGAAAACACACCGTACGGTGTATATGCGTTCCTTTCGCTGCTTATACTATTTGTCCTATGATGGCTCATTCCCGGCAAAAATCATCATAGTTATTATTATCAAATCATTATTGTTATTTATCATCATTATTATAACATCATTACTGATCAATCATCATCAATCATTATTATCATCATTATTATACCTACGATTCAGAACGGCTAACATAACATCCGGGTGCCGAACAAGGCCATTCACCCCTAACTACGGTGCTGTCATTGCTCTATGTCATATGGTCATGACAAGCTTAGCATTCATGCCGGATAGCCGTGTTCACAAAGCCCTCTGTGGAATGCGTAGCGCATTATTAATACGGTTAGAGATGCGCGAATAGTTACAATAGTATCCCCTTGAAAGAAAACGGGTACCTTAGGCCTGCGTCGTGGAAAGAAAACGACAGCCGAGGTGGTTTAAGGTTTCTCGTCACGGCGTTCGTGTAGGTCACTGCACGAACGCTTAAGAACAAGCCCAAAAAATAATGAAAAGGGAGAGATAGAGACATATATATATATATATATATATATATATATATATATATATATATATATATATAATATATATAGAGAGAGGAGAGAGAGAAGAGAGAGAGAGAGAGAGAGAAGAGAGGGAGGGGGGAGGCAGAGAGAGAGAGAGAGCAGAGAGAGAGAGAGAGAGAGAGAGAGAGAGAGAGAGAGAGAGAGAGAGAGAGAGAGAGAGAGAGAGAGAGAGAGAGAGAGAGAGAAGAGAGAAAGAGAGAGGAGAGAGAGAGAGAGAGAGAAGCTATGAAGATCATCGGAATGCAGCGACTAGTTCCATTTCCATGAGGTGTAGAGAGGAAGTTACCCCGATACGATAATATTAATATTATATAAATATATAAATAAAATAAAAAACAAAATCTATTTCTTTCTTGACACACGCACACAACAACCAAATTGGGGAAAAAAAATATCGATTAACTCGGTGCTTCACCACTAAGCATAATTTTTAGCGACTCACCGGGCGGTCAGAGTTCAAGTCCAGCCTCAGGGCATTGCAAGAAACGCTTTATGATGGCAATAAAAGGTAAGAGGAAGGGACTTTAATGGCCATTCTTGCATGCTATGATAATGTCTCGAAGGAAGCATAACCGCTCTTATTTCAAACACTTGAAGGTATTTCGGTAAAATAGCTGGCAAAAAAAAAAAAAAAAAGTGATCAAGGTATGTAAATAAACAGAAAAGGAGAGAGAAAAAAAAGAAAAAGTCTCCTTAGTTCCTCGGTAGACATTCCTTATGAGAGGTTAAAGACTTGACCTTTGACCTGTGCGTAGCGACGGCGTTCACACTATAAGATGGCAGACACTATGACTATTAGAAGACAACCCATATGTCACGCAGAGGCAGGGACTCTTTTAATGTCATATGTCATGCTGTTTTCGCTGTCATGCAGATGTAGAAAGGGTGAATAGACATATAAATAGATGCCTTTATAAACATATATAAAATAGCCATTGTGCACATACGCACACACACACACACACGCACGTGCGGACGAGTGCTCGTTCGCGAAAGAGAGAAAAAAGGGTAGACATGTGGGTATGTAGATATAGACATAGCAAAGAGTAAAGAAAGTAGCTCTTCTCTATACTATATATAGATATGATATAATAGGTAAATGGATATATAAACAAATTTGTGTATTCACATCCTATACATATACATGTATAGACAATAACACATATTTTAGACACCACACCACACACACACACACACACACACACACACACACACACACACACACACACACACACACACACATATACACACAAACACACACCACACACACACACACACACACACACACACATATATATATGTGTGTGTGTGTGTTATTATCATTATCATCAAACACAAGTGTGAATATTCAAAAAATACTATGTATACAACCCAATATTCTGTAACAATAGAAATCATAACCCCACAAAGATAACATATCTCTGCTACCCCCCCCCCCACCATCCCCTCTAGCGGAAGAAAACATCACTAAAACCACCACGAAAATTATTGAATTGCAGTTGAAATAGATCGAAATAAAAGGACAACCCTCTAACCCCCCCCCCCCCCCGCGAAGTCTACGAATTATGCAAATCATTTGGTTTGGCAAGATGGAGTCCGGCCAAATGTGCCATGTTCATGTTCCTACCTTATAAGGAATATATAGCGTGATCTCACTGAAGTCCGGTTATGTGAGTGTCGACGGTTACGAGTGGGCGTGTGAGTGTATATTTTTCTTTTTTTGAGTGATGTAGGTCTAGGTAAAGCTTTACCTAGATTATTCTAAAGCTAAC